TAAAATCATAAACTTTGCGCGGTGATTGACGAGTCTTTGTGACAAGGTCAACAATCATATACTGATTTCTGGCATGTATTCAAAACTGTGAGTAAGTGACTAAGCTAAATGTAACTTCACGTTCTCGGTTCTGACTTCTTTCTAAAACTAGATGATTTCTTGACTCGGGGTTGAGGGCACCGAACCATGCTAATGATGGCTGTACTGTTTAACGCCCGCCCTAGGATCGTCAATGCAGCACTGATATGTTAAACAGCAAGTGATATACATGTACGAAATAAATCAGTGAAAAATAAGTCGCGGATGTCAGTCAGTGCTTTGCTGGTCGCTTATCCGTTTGGATCGCGGTAATTTCTGCTCCGAACAGAGTTTGTCGAGACACTCGCCCCGGATCATTCGTGGCCAGCCTCGGTCGGTCACTTGAGCTGTCAGCAGCTGTTTCGCGTTCCTGTCTAAAAGCACTCGCAAGAAGTGTCCAAACCATCGCAACTGCGATGCGCAGCGGCTGTTGACCGAGGCTCTCTCAGGTATCTGCACTCGGGACCATGCTCAGTGATTTGTCTCGGAAAGCCCATTTCAGCCGCTTTTACCCGAGATCGAAATTTTTTAGTCATGGCCTTTCAGCTTAGCACCTTCAGACTCAGCTCTGTTTTTGTCACGACGGTTCGGTTCCCGCAGAACACCGTTGACCATTACAACTTACCAGTAGATTTCATCCGTTGCCATTAAATTCTTGAAACGTGACCTTCTGCTCCTGTTTACCGTATATCTGCAGAGCGCGATGAGCAGGAGAACAGGAACAGTAGGCTTTTCGTTTTGGAAACGTTCACATGCTCAAGGCATTTGTCTACGCACCTTTCCAGAGAGCGCTGGAGATCCATTTCAGAAGATGCCAACAAAACAAAGTCGTCAGCAAACAACCGTACCTTCACATCCACGTTGACACACTCGCCGTCTTGGCTGCGACTGACTAACTTCTCTACGTACGACACAAACATATGGGTCAGAACACTCTTAGCGGAAATCAGTGTCAAAGCCGAATGGTCTCAAACTAATTCCATTTACTCGGACGCAGCACCTATTAAGCACCTATGGTGACTTAACGGCTCGTAACAACCGGCCTCGCCAATGGCTTGTTGCACTGGATCCGGTCACAGACTCTTTCCACGTGCACAAAGCACATGTAAACCTAATTAACATGCTCCCACGATTTCCGAACAATCTGGCGTAAGGAAAAGACTGGATCAGAGATGTTTCGGCCTGACCTGAAGCCACGTTGCTGCTGTATTTCAGAGTCAAGTATTCGGTTCCACCTCCCTTCTAACACCATTGTAGACTCTGTCTGGGAGACTGTATTAGGTAATGGCCCGCCTTGTTGAACAGCAATATCGTAGCTCCCATCCGCCAGTCTACCGGGGTCTTCCCCACCAATAACCATTGCACTTTGGCAGAGACGTATTGGACACCACATGGCTTGTTCACTTTAAGCTATAAGCATCTCAGGGAACATTGTATTAATTCTTGCAGCCTTTCCACTTATGAAGTTTTATACAGCGTCAGTGACTTCAACTGTTGAAAGACTATTATCTCTTGCCTGCTGCCGTTCTGGCGAGTCTTCCTGCGGTTGCTCAGGGTTAACGAGCTCCTCAAAGTAATCATTGTATCGACGAAGGATGTTCCTTGACAAGTGAGCGTTCAGACTTGTCTTTCAGGACGCTTACACTGCCATTTTTTCCATCGTGGAGCCGGCAAATGGTCCGCCAGAATGCCTTGTTTGCCATGAGGAAATTCGCCTCGGTCACCTCACCGAGTTTCTTTTATCATTCAACTTTCGTTTTAACTCCGTTGGCGCGGTTCTTCGTACTGCGTGCAAATAGGAGGCTCATTACTTCCAAACTACCTCTTGAACGGGTTTTCTCGCTAACAACCAGTTGAACCTCTCTTGCTAACCAAGAAGTTCGTTACTGACCGCCAAGCGATAGGCCAACCCGGTTTACACTGCAGCATTCGGAAGCAGCCCTAGTAAGCCGCCACTGAACAGCTTCCATTCGGTTTCCGAGTCAGTCGTTATCACTGGGATCTGTTAAAATGGTCTTGCGATGTTTGCGAGTTTTGTCCTCTCGTCCTCAGTAGATTAAGCTTTTTATCTGATTTCTTGGTTTCTTTTACGGTGATGATTGGTTGACAGCTTTGTGCCTCGTTTAATGCAAACATTCATTACACAGCGTCGTAGGTCAGACGATACGATTATCAAATCGATGGTGGACTTCTGAGCACAAGCTCCCCTGTACCAGGTATTCTGATGCACGTTTCGATGCTCGAAGAACTTCATTATAACAGTCGGTCCGTTGTTTTCACAAAACTGCAACAAATCCATGCCACTGTCACCGCTAGGGCCGCTCTGTACAATCACGACAGTTTACTTTTCAGTGTCTGTTCTGACAAGCGCACTGAAATCGCCCATCAGGATGATGGATTCAGAAGTCTGCACTTCATGTAGAGCGGCTTCAAGTTCTTCAGTTCTTCAACCAAGGGCTGCTGTTCTTCCTCCAAATTGGGCACATAGGCCTGTAACAAGGTCAAGGCTATCGCGTGTTGCAACTTCAGTTGGAAGACTGCCGCTCTTCCGCTGACGAGCTTCTGTTCCATGCCTCTGCCAGCCAAGTTGAGTTCTACCAGATCATCAACTTCGACATGAGCACCGATAGCAAAGTTCGACACCGCAGTAGAATAACCTCCACCAGCAGGGCTTCAGACTTCCGGAGTCTTGGCGCTTCGTTGACTAGAGTCCAATTATATCGAGTTGGTACGTTGCGACCTCATCAGCTAGATTCAGCTGTTTCCCTCTGAGTGAAGGTACGTTCGAATTTCTGACTGTAAACTTCCACTGTCATTATCGTTCTCGTGGAAGCTTGTCTAAAATACAATAATGTCATCAACCTATCTGCTGCCTTCTTTTATAATGTTTAGTGACTCAGTTGCTGACTGGCGTTTTTGTGTACAAATTTGGCAGCCATCGCCTTCGGCTGAACCTCCCAATTACAGAATTCGTGAAACAGTCTGTCTCAGTTTTCCCACAGCCTGTGCAGACCTTGATAACTCGGACGAAGGAGCCAATGTAACGTTCGATAATTGCCGTACCACGAGAGGCAAATGCTTACGTTTTACAGGGGACATCGCTACTGTCCCAAACTTCCCTTTTCCTCATCCGAGATTGGGGCCGGCATTAGTGAAGTTGCACATGTAGCATCAGAAGTTAAACAAGTGTGTTAATAAATTTAGCTTTAACCATTTCGTACCTCAGTCGGTATTTTCTTTTCAGGTGAACGACGCCCCTCCAATTTTCACTTATCACGATGAAGGAAGAATATTGATTGCACCTACGATATTTCAGCTACAAAATATGAAAAGTCTCTTTTTCCAAAAGACCTAGTTTAGCAGGCCTTTGCCGATTATACACACATTCGTCTAACTGAAGGAATGTTCATCAGAAAAAGTGTTGCGCACTACGAAAGAAATTTGCCTGTCTGAGACGGACTGCTGATCAGGGCTATATTATCTAGATATTGTTGCTGCATGTCACTCTCGCCAGCTGCAGGGAGAATGCAAAGCGTACGGAAATGAAAGTGGTGTACCGAGACTGAATTGTTCAGGCACTCAGTTAGTGCCCACTCAGTCAGACGTATGCGAAACATCAAAGATTTAATGACGAATTGAAGACTAGCAAATGCGTGATTCGTTC